CTCTCTCTCTCTCTCTCTCTCTCTCTCTCTCTCTCTCTCTCTCTCTCTCTCTCTCTCTCTCTCTCTCTCTCTCTCTCTCTCTCTCTCTTCTTGAGTTTGTGTACAGAGGGTATGGCATGTACGGAGGTATGTCTCTGTACCATTTAGCGACATGAGCCGCTAAGAATCTTTCATCTTACGCTGGTAAGAAGTGAATGCTGTCACATCTTGTGCGGGTGCAAAATGCATCTTCTAATGTATGTTGTTGTGGGCTTTTGTTTTTGCTGTGCAGGTACTTCAACAAAGATTGACATCCCGGAGGGATTGCTTCAAACTTATGTGAAAGGGGTATGTTATAAAAAAATTCCGATTGTTGCGGACTGATCTAGCTCAATTGGTACACTGATGAACAAGCAACTGTCGAAATACAGAACTGTTGAAATACAGACATGTAAATTACCTAGGAAGATGGTCATGGCCCGGGTCAGGCACCCTGTCGTGGGATTATTTTTAATTAAAATTTAAAAATTATATATATTTAATTTTAATGACATATGGAGAGGGTCCTAAATCCAGGTTTTAGTACCGTTTACCCTTTTTTTGAGTGTTGGCTGTCAAGCGGGGGGGAACGGGGTATAACGGATGTCCGAGACCCCCGCAAATGTCCAGGTTGTCGGACAACCGGCCAAAAGATCCGCCAGAGACCACATGTCTGCCCCCTATGAAAAGTAAGAGGGACCCAGTTCTGGATTGTTTGGAGACCTGCGGGTGGCCAGGAGGTGGGTGACTAGCAAAGAGACCCAAGATCATTTTTTGTTGAGGCCTGTAGGGCCTCAAAATTTCGACAGAAAAAGGAGGTCTAATCTGAGCCGTCAGACCTTGAAACTCAATACTAATAGCCCAAATTGGGCCCTTTTTTTTTCCCTTTGCAGCTGTTGCAACTGCTACAAATGCACCACCCCCGCACCTTTTTGTTTTTTCTATTTTTTTTTTGTATCTGCAGCTGCTGCAACTGCTGAAGCTGCTGCAGTCGCTGCAACTCCTCCTGCTGCTGCAGGGGATGCAGGTGCTGTAGGTGCTACAGGTGCTGCTGCTCGTCTAGCCCCCACGGCTCCCGCATTTTTTCCCCTACACTTATAAAAAGTGCTTATGTTAGATCTCTCATCCGGGCCGTCTGCAGATCCTCGTGCGATCTTAAGATCTTAAGATAGAGTGATGATCTGGGCTGTGAGCCCGGTACCAGTTGGCCCATGGCCTGGAACAGCACAGGCCTTGAAAAGGCAGGCCCTACCAGTGCCTGTTGGCAAGAGGCCCTGGCGGTGTCCCCCCGCCGGCCTGGTGCCTCCCAGCCAGCGCTGCCCTACCAAGGACATCGATCGTTCCCCTCGTGTGGCACCTCACCGCCAAGGTGCAGCGACAGTGTCACCAGCACTGGCCATTGCCATTGCGGCCATCTAAGTTGTCGCGCGACATTCTCACAGGCTCCTACTATTACTATACTACAACTCCTGATGACCAGACAACTACTTCAATGATAATGAGGACGCTCCTTCCCGCCCTCGATGAGGACGACTATGTGCGTGTGTGTGTGTGTGTGTGTGTGTGTGTGTGTGTGTGTGTGTGTGTGTGTGTGTGTGTGTGTGTGTGTGTGTGTGTGTGTGTGTGTGT